CGGCTCCTGCGAGCCTTGTCCTCAGCGTCGACCTCGGCCCGCGCCCCTCGAGCTCCGGCTGGAGGAGAGAGGCTCGACGAAGCGGGGCGGACAAGGCTGTGCTAGAGAACAGGGAACCGGAACGCGGATAAGCGAGGGTGACGGGACGCATTGGCGTCGCCGGCGGAAGAGTATCACGGCCGGGTCAGCTTTGGAAAGTTGGTGCTGGCCGATGTAATGAAAGTGGGAGGGGAGAGACCCGGCTTTCCGGGGGCGGGTGCAGGAGCGAGCCCTATGGATTTCAAGGGAAACAGCATCTGGGAGGGCTGCTAGGCAGGCGCGCGCTGGCCTTAGTGGCAAGGAGGTTGTTTATCTGCCACGGTCCCTCTGTTTTTGCTCTCCTGCTGAAGTAATTTAAAGCCAATCCCAGTCATTCTATCATATCATCTGTAAACACCTCTTAAAACCCTCTTCTCTTTGGTTTCAATGGTATATTAATATGTCTAATTCTTTCTTGACTTTTCCTCCTCATGTCTTCTAATCATTAATATTACTCAGATTCCTTTTTAGGCTCATTGTCTTTTTGGGTGTTCCTTGTTATCCCTGGTTTAGCCTTTTGGTTTTATAACCACCATCTACATGCTAATAACTAACAAATCTGGTTTTCCCCATTCTGAACTCCCGTCATCTCAACCTCAGACTTGAAAATTGAAATCCCACTGGGTATGCAATAGGTGTTTCTAAAGGCTCGTTGCATAGATCTGGAAAAAAAAGAATTTCCCTCTCTTTGGCATATCTCTAACCTTCTCTGCCCCAGGTAGAATCACTTCCCAGGCATCTAGACTAGGAATATAGGTACTACCCTATACTATTGCAATCCCTCAAGCCCCTCCCCATGGCATCTAATTAAGACCTGCTGTTTCATCCATTCTGTTACTGCAGCAGTAGTCTGTGCCCTGTCATTTCTTATCCCGAGTCTAGCTGGCCACACTTAAGTCTGTACTGTATAGATTTAACCAGTATTTCTCCAAATACACTGACTAAAGCTCCAGCTCCACTTCAAATCCATTTGTTTGATAGCTGTATAACTTGGATAAGTTACTCAGTCTCTCTGTGCTGTAGGATCTATATCTGTAAAATGGAGGTAAACCATGGCCTTACCTACCACATGTGGTTATTATGACTATTAAATGACTTAATGTGTGTTAAGTACTTAGAATAATAGCACCAGGCACATGGAAATCCCCTAAAGCATATTAGCAAGATGACTGCCAGAGCTATCGTGTGGCTCCTTTGTTTAAGTCTTTGCATAATTTCCCATCACTCATGGAATAAGATGCAAATATATCTATAGGATGAATTTCTAGAGTTGGAATTTTGATCAATATTATCAAATTACCTTCCATCGGATTTGTTAAAAATTACACTCCCACCAGCAACACATGCGTGTGCCTGTATTCCTAGTGCACTCACCCGCTCAGAGTGTAATGGGATGGTGGCAATACATGATAGAACTAGTTTATAAGAGTCTTATCCAAATCAACCAGAAACTGTTTATCTTAATTTGGTTCAGGTTATTATAGGTGTAGAAATATAACACTTAGGAAAATTCCCATAGAAAATTCATAGGCTCCAAAAAATATGTAGAAACACTGGATTGAAATGAAACTTTGAAACCAAATTTTTTTTTTTTTTTTAAATACAAAAAGACGTGCTTATCGCCAGTGATTGATTTTTGTTTTCTTGGGCCTAGGTGAAATGACAATGGATGCCATCTTGGCTTGGTTGAAACTCTTGAATCCAGATGACCTTAGAGAAGAAATTGTCAAAGCTGGATTGAAATGTGGACCCATTACATCAACCACAAGGTTCATTTTTGAGAAGAGGTTGGCTCAGGCTTTACTAGAGCAAGGAGGTTCACTGCTTTCCTCTCTTCCTGACCACGGCAAGACGGGTGCCAGAGCTCTGAGCCAAGACACACCAAGGATTTTGAAGTCTGCTGTAGGGAACCTGACTGAGCAGGCCAATTTTTCTGAAGATAGAGATTTTGGTTATAGTGTAGGCTTGAATCCTCCAGAGGAGGATGCCATGATATCTAAGACCTGCTCGGTACCCATCAGTGCCACAGCTGGGGTAGACACCTGCAAAGCTGGAGTGACCGCCTCCAGGGAGCCGCCTCTGTACTATGGGGTGTGCCCAGTGTATGAGGATGTCCCAGCGAGAAATGGTAATGTGACCATTGTGTAGTGTTTCCTTACACAGACGCATGTACAGCAGAAACAACTTAATCACCATAATCTCATCTCCCAGAATTCACCATTGTTAACATTTTTATATAGAAACTTCCTGAATTGTTTTGTAAATCTGTATAGGAATTTTTAAAAATTGTTAGGAAAGTTGGATTCTATGAGATATGCTTGACTTATAAGTATTGATTGTCTGGCTACCATTTTTAAGAACTTCATCAATTAATCATCTTCCCCCTTGTTGTAATTCATGATCACTTGGACCCTTTTATGTTAATGAATGCAAATGGAAGCAAGACTTAAATAGATAACATTGGAAAAAAATAATGAGAACTCAGTGTTGACTAGAATGTCAGAAATTGCACAGTGTTATTAGTGTATCATTTGAGGTAATGGATTGGTTAAACATATGTCGCACCATGAATAGAATGGAATATTATTCAGCCACAAGATCTTTTTAAAGAATATTCAGTGACACTGGGAAATGGTCATGGTGCAATTTCTATTTCTTTTTAATCTTTATTATTATGAAAGTTGTTGTGGTAAAAAAAACTTATTTATAGTGCATAATTATATATATGGTATATAAGGTAAAAGTGAAGTTTCTCTCCTCCCCACCGAGATCTTACTCATAGACGTAAACACATAACTGCTTTTGTGTGTCATACCTAACCCTACTATTTTTTTTATATGTAGACATTGTTTTTATTTTTAATATATATTTGATATATGTTATATGCAATATTTATTTTTAAATTGAGTGTAAGTATATATATATAGGCTCACATTGTTTTTATTTTTATAAAAATGGGAAGTAGAAGTACTGGGTCAAAAGGTTCACATTTTTTACAACTTTGAAAGCTACTGCCCTCTAAAATTTATTACATTGTATCTAAAAATGGAAAATCAGTATCTTGTTGCCATTCTGTCAGCCACAGTGCATATTATTAAACTTCCCATTTTGTCTTTTGAATAAGGCAAACCTGCTATCTTGGTTTAGGTTGGATACTTTATTTTATTTTATTTTATTTTATTTTTTGTCCTTTTTGAGACTGGCCGCACGGCGCTCAGCCAGTGAGCTCTGTGAGCGCACCAGTCATCCCTATATAGGATCCGAACCCTCCCGAGTGCGCCATGGGCTCGGCCCAGGTTGGATACTTTATATGGTTGTAGTCTGTATGTGATGATTACTTGGTCATATACATTGGCTGTTTTTATCTGGTAATAGACATTCTTCTGTTATATTGGTTATACATTTTTTCCTCCCTATCCATCATTTATGATAGTCTCTTACAAAAACTCAAGCTATGGTAGTTCCCCTACAGATTAATATTTTTATATAATTAGAATTGTCTTTTACTTTATGGATTTCCTTTTATGGATGGTTTCTTGGCATGCTTAGAAAAGCATTCCCCACCCAAATTATGTTTAGAATTCTCTTTGTTTGCTAATATATTTATAGTTTTTTAAACTTGCTTTCGAATTATTTTTATTTAGATATTTAATCCATGAGAAATTTATTTTTTAGTATGGTATAGTATCCTGGAATATAAAATTATATGTATAAAATATATATCATGTTAGTCATACACACATGTACTCATATATGGCCAAGCTTATTAGTTTCGTTCTGTTGGCTACCAAAGGCCCTTTTCTTCAAGAATAAAAATCTGAATTATAGGGTTGGCCCGTGACTCATTCGGGGATAACACCAAGGCCATGGGTTTGGATCCCATATAGGGATGGCGGGTTCGCTCACTGGCTGAGCATGGTGCTGACAACACCAAGCCAAGAGTTAAGATCCCCTTACCGGTCATCTTTATAAAAAAAAAAAAAGAAAGAAAGAAAAAATCTGAACTATAACGTTAGATTAAAATCAGGTGACTGGGTAACAAATATTTAAGTTGATTATTAAATCCAGAGTGTGGATCAAGTGACAGTGGTTCCAGTTACTCATCTTTAATTTTCCTTTGTTACTTTTCCCACTCAGAAAAGATCCATGTTTATGAAGATAAAAAGGAAGCATTGCAAGCTGTCAAAATGATCAAAGGGTCCCGATTTAAAGCTTTTTCAACCAGAGAAGATGCTGAGAAATTTGCTAGAGGCATTTGTGATTACTTCCCTTCTCCAAGCAAAACCTCCTTACCACTTTCTCCTGTGAAAATAGCACCACTCTTTAGCAATGGTGGGTTAAAAGGTAAATTACATACCCCAAAATATTTTGTGCTCTTTTCCTGATATATTGTAACTAGTTTTCTCCATCTGTGAGAGAAGTCCAGCATGCCAGGAAGTAGAGAGCTGAGGCCCAGGCCATGTAATAGCTGCAGGAGAATGGGTCAGTGGCTGGTCTGGGGAGGTTCTGGGACATGAGGGTAGAGGTGATGGGGGCTGAGTGGATCAGGAAGCCAGTCGAGCTCTGGAGCTGATGAGCTAGTTCTTAGCATCTAGACTGCAGAGAAGCAGTGGAAGGAACACTGTTGCCCCTTCCATCTGTCCCCTTGTCTCTCTCTCTGCTGCCTGTTGGATTCAGCATCTTTTTTTTGGTACTGAGACCAGTCTACTTCCCCACCTGAAGCTATACCTACTTCTAGGACCAGGGCAACTGCAAAAGTTAGGCTCTCTTGCAGGAGCCATCCAGCCAGAAATCTGACCACACCCACTGCTCAAGTTAGAACCAGGCTGTTCATAGTTGGCATCATGCTGAACTCTGGCCTTTAACTTCAGTCCAGCTTTGCTTGCATCCCTTCTGCCAGCTCACAGTTTTCTGGGCTTCCCAGGCTGGCTGGGGTTCCAGAGGGACAGCATCCTCTCCTAGACATCTGACCTTTAGTTGAGAATCCTGCCTGTCTCCCTTCCCCTGTTTCCTTACTCAGCCTTATACAGGAGCTTTCTAGATGGAAACCAGAATGATTTCTAACAGTTGACAGATTTTCCTCTGCCATTTTTGAAAATTCCCCTGAAGTAAATCATTTTAAGACATTCTCAGGTGTTGTGATCAAACCAATACAAATCACATGTGGAGCACTCCCCCATATGGTAGTGTGCTCTGTGCACGATAAAGGTCTTATGCCATTGCTGGTGCAGCTCCCTCCTCCACCTGCTGAAATCCCATTTATCTTTCAGAGTTCGCCAAATTATGCCTCAGTCACAGCTGTCCCCAGCTAGATTCCAGTCGGGTGTGATGGCTCTTGAACAACTTGATCATAGCAGTGTGTTGGTGCTGCTGTTGCAGGCCAGGATGTATTGCAGTGTGCTGCATGTGCTGTCATTGCTTCTTACCTGTTACTCCCATCTGGCTTGTCAGCCTCTGCGGGAAGGTTTTTTATCCCTTGGCAAAGCATGTGGGGATGATGAGAAAATGTTTGTGGAATTAAGTGTTCTTAAATTCTGTCTCTTGACAGATGGTTTGTACTTATCTGAATCAGAAACAGCAAACAAAGAGCGAGCGAACAGTTATAAAACTCCCCGAACTCAGGACCTCACTGCCAAGCTTCGAAAAGCTGTGGAGAAGGGAGAAGAAGACACCTTTTCCGATCTTATCTGGAGTAACCCCAGGTATCTTATTGGTTCAGGGGACAACCCAACCATTGTACAGGTAAGCCTCCTTTCAACATTGTTAGTGCCATTGTGGTCACTGACAAAAGACTTCATTTAACAAAAATGAAGCTAAAAATAGGTAGTTTTCTTTCAGGAGGGATGCAGGTACAATGTTATGCATGTTGCTGCCAAAGAAAATCAGGCGTCTATCTGCCAGCTGACTTTGGCGACTCTGGAAAATCCTGAATTTATGCGGCTGATGTACCCAGATGATGATATGGGCATGCTGCAGAAACGCATTTGTTACATTGTTGACCTTTATCTGAACACTCCTGACAAAATGGTGAGTGTTCCTGCTTCAGCCTCTGTATTTCAGTGGAAGCTAAAGCCAGGTTTATAGTAAAGAAAGATTTGTGTTCCTAGTATATTGAGTATTTCTTGTGTTTCTGCACTGTACATCAGTGTGCAAGATATGTGGAAGATTTTAGAAAAGAGAAGCACATTCATTGAATTCAAAGAGCTTAGAAAGATGTGGTTGGGAAAAGAAGACACACTCTCAGAAGTCCACCCTGCCAGGCAGGGTGCGTGGACAGACAGAGGTGCTCTGGGAGGCTGCCCTTGTGGGCTTTGTCAAGAGAGGCATGAGCTGGGCTTTGATTGGAGGATGGGTAAATGGTAAAAAGTACTGAAAAAGTTTTAAAAGTTTTGTCGCCTTTTATACTAGTATTCTATATTGTATTAGTTTGTTTCTGTTGCTTATAACAGAAATACCTGAAACTGAGTAACTTATAAAGAAATAAAAATTTATTCCTTACAGTTTTGGAGGCAGGGGAGTCCAAAGTACAGGGAACACATATGGTGAGAGCCTTGTTGGTGGGTGGTGACTCTCTACAGCAGCATAGGGTGTCACATGGCAAAATGGCTGAGCAAGAGAGAGCCAAGGTTCTGGCTCACTCTCCTTTTAAAGCCATCAGAACCACACCCATTGCTCCATGAATGGATCAATCCATTCACAACAGCACAGTAATCACAATCTAATCACCTCTTTATGGCCACACCTTTCAGTTACTAAAATAGGATTTCCCATTCTCTTAACACTGTTATGGTGGGGATTAAGTTCCTAATACAGGAAACTTTGGGGGACACAATTCAATCTGTAGCATATATGTTTCTTTTAAAAATTTTTTTTTTCGGGCCGGCCCAGTGGCGCACTGCTACAGTGTGCCGCTTGGGAGCGCGGTGGCGCTCCCGCCGAGGGTTCAGATCCCACATACAGGCCAGTTCCCGCTCACTGGCTGAGCGAGGTGCGGGTGCGACACCGAGGGTTGCGGTCCCGTTGCCGGTCCCTGTCCGGTCCGGGCACGACACGGAGGGTTGCGATCCGTTGCCGGACACGAAAAAAGACAAAAAGGGGAAAAAAAAAAAATTTTTTTTTTCGGGGCGGCCCAGTGGCGCACTGCTACAGTGTGCCGCTTGGGAGCGCGGTGGCGCTCCCGCCGAGGGTTCAGATCCCACATACAGGCCAGTTCCCGCTCACTGGCTGAGCGAGGTGCGGGTGCGACACCGAGGGTTGCGGTCCCGTTGCCGGTCCCTGTCCGGTCCGGGCACGACACGGAGGGTTGCGATCCGTTGCCGGACACGAAAAAAGACAAAAAGGGGAAAAAAAAAAAATTTTTTTTTCACTTGACGTAAATATTTCCTGTGAGATTAAAAATTTCAAAGGCATGATTTTTAGTGGTTGCTTAAGTAAGGATTCTTGAAACAATTTACGTATTTATATAAGGGAAAACCCAATGGTAGCTTAAAGCCAGGAATTGTTAACTCTTAATAAAACCTAGGAGTTTGGAAAGTTGTGGGTGGGAGAGAGGGTAAAAGAAACATCATGGTGGAGCATAGTATTGTTATTTGATAACACATTGGATATGATACCTTGAACTGCAGAATTGAAAATTAAGAATAAATTTTAAAGTAGCAAGAGAGAAAAAGGGGAATGTAGAGAAATTTGGCCAAGCAAAGAGAAAGCAATGATTACAAAAAAGCAATAGTAAGCGTAAAATAGGAAAGAAGGAATAAAATCAAAGTGTATCAGTTAGACTAAGTGTGAACAAACTAGTAAGTGCAGATATCAGATTTGATTACTACAGCTGTCAAGTGTGACATTATAGATGTGATGTAGACCTGTGTGTTTTACAAAAAAGACATATTCTTTTCTTACTGTTTGTGCAGTATTCACAGAAAATGTGCATGCGCTGTCCAGAAAGAAAACTTATTAAATTATTGAATTTAGATGTTTCAGGTGACATTCTCTTATCATAACCACCAAAAGTAGGAATTATTACAGTATGGACCAAAAATACCTCAACTGTTCAGAAAGTTCTGGGGTTTGTGGAGGGACCACCTCACTAGAGAATATGGTGTGGGTGGGAAGCAGGGAAGAACCCAGAGCTTGTGGTTCTCCCTTCTCTGCACAGGAGAGGAAGTTATCTGGCAGGAGCAGGGAGAAGTTGGGGTGGTCAACTTTGCAGAGTGTGGATCAGATTAGAAATAGCCATCCTGTGGATGAGAAGGAAATGGTCATGCAAACCATCTGCCCTGGTGTGTAGGAGAGGAACTGGAGAGGGGAGAGCAGGTGTGTTGCTGAAGCCATTGACCATGGAGCCTGTGTTGTCGAGGTAGAATGTGAATCCAGAAAGGCCTGATGGATCGGAGAATGCAGAGCAGTCATCCCCAGAGCACAGGCCAGCAAGCCACAGCCTAGGGACCAAGTCAGCAACTGCCTATTTTTGTAAATAAAGCTTTATTGGAACACAGCCATGCTCATTTGTTTATACATTGTCTGTGGCTGCTTTCCTGCTACAAGGGCAGTAGTTGTGGCAGAGATGAGATGACCTGCAAAGTCTAAAATGCTTGCCAGCTCCCAGACAAAAGGACAGGGTGCAGTCAGAGAATATCAGTATGTACAGATGTCCAGACCTTCTCAATGCCATGTAGGAGAATCTTGCAAGATGGCCCTAGGAGGTGATGGGGGGAGGGGAGCTGCCATGAGGTAGCTTGCCTTTAATGAATCACTCAGGTCATGCTGCAGAGGATGGGAGACAGGGGTGGGTGTGCAGGCAGCAAGGCCCCCGAGGAGCCTCTGGGTGCCCTGGGCCACAAGCTGAGGACATGACAGACATGGCATACAGAGGCGTGAGTTGCAATTTATACCGCCACATTTGAGCCACCTGTGCAACATCCAGGTGAGGTGCCTAGGAGGCAGTTGGCTCTACAGGCCTCAGGCTCAGGAGGGTGCTCTTGACCATAAGGCCACAGGTCTGTAGGCAGCAGTTGAAGGTGACCTTGAGATTGCCCAGAGAATAAGGAAGGAACGAAGGGCAACTGTGGGGATTACCAGGTGAGTGACTGGAGCCCTGGGATACCATGAAGAGGAAGTCAGAGCATTCAGAAGCATCACTGGAGTGTAGTGGTCTGAAGTGGGGAGTGAAGAGAGTTTTATTTACTGTGGTGTTAGCCGCTAGAGATTCATGGACTTTGCTATATTCTGGATGTTGCTTTCATCCATTTATTTCCTTTTTTTAAAGATGACCAGTAAGGGGATCTTAACCCTTGACTTGATGTTGTCAGCACTGTGCTCTCCCAAGTGAGCTAACCGGCCATCCCTATACAGGGATCTGAACCTGTGGCCTTGGTGTTATCAGCACCACACTCTTCCAAGTGAGCCACGGGCCGGCCCTATTTCCATTTTTGAGCATTGTTTATGTGATATTATACTGGGCTCTAAACTGTTAAAGCTACTGAGCATTTGTTATGCCCCAGCTCAATTGTAAGCTCCTCATTGGGACTGGGCACCCAGGTGCTACATAAACAGGGATGGGGGGGCAGAGTGCCAAGCTCAAGTCCTGGCATAAAGTGGGATGTGCTAGCATGCCAGTTATTTTCCAGAAAAATTTAAAAAGCCATGGCTTTTATGGTCTTTCTGTATTTGAGGCTTTTTTTTTTTTTTTTTGGTGGTTGACCACTATAGGGATCGAACTCTAGATCTTGGTGTTATCCGTACTGTGCTCTAACCAATTTTTTTTAATACCTGTCTTCACCTTAGAACAACCTTATGAGACAAAGAAGTATAAACAGTTATGCTTCCTCTGAATCTTTTTCAGGGCTATGACACACCGTTGCATTTTGCTTGTAAGTTTGGGAATGCAGATGTGGTCAACATCCTTTCTTCACACCCTTTGATTGTAAAAAACCCAAGGAATAAATATGATAAAATGCCTGAAGATGTAAGTACTTATTTTAGAAACTTGACAGCTGGTTAAAATGCATTCTGTGAAGGTGATGCATCTGTAGAGCCAGGAGGCAATGAACTGACCCAGTGTGCTGATTATATTTTCCTGAGACTGGCCATCAGTTGTTCTGAGAAGCTCAGAGTTGTTTATCAAGTTCCCTCTCTGAACACATCAGTTGACCAGGATTAGGCAGAATGGAGGTGGTAATGGTGATGGTGGTGGTGATGGTGATTGTGGTGATGGTGATCGTGATTGTGGTGCTGGTGATCGTGATTGTGGTGATGGTGATGGTGATAATGATGTTGACGGTAGTGATGGTGATGGTGGTGATGGTAATGAAGGTGGTGATGAGGATGGTGATGTTAAAAGCAGCTGACATGTGTTCAGCTCAGTGTACATCAGGCACTGTTCTGAGTCCTTTGTACATATTCCCACCTGACCCACACAGGCTTTGTGAGGCAGGCCTCATCATGATCCTTAGCAATTGAGCAAAATGTGCCTTAGAGAGGGCAGAGGTACGTTCTATGCCTGTAAAGTGGAAGAGAGAACTGGACTTTATGAGAATTGAAAGACTGGTTTGATTTGTATGGGCCGGCCCGTGGCTCACTCGGGAGAGTGCGGTGCTGATTTGTACCATGTACTAGCACTGTTAGCTGACCTAGACCACCCACCCCATTAGAAATAAAACCTGCGAGGATCCTCTTCAGTGGTAGTGGCCTCCCCCACACTCCCTTTGTAATTGCTGTAATTACATAAGCAGTGCCAACTTTCTGTAGAAAGTTTAGAATACACATAAAAAGAATAAAATCCACTAGAAAACTCTACAGCTGACAAATTACCATTATTTTGCATGTATGACTCAACTTTGTCTTTTTTTTAATATAAAATGCTATTTGGTAACCAGCTTAAAACTCCTAACATTTTTAAAGCTTTTGACTTCCATTTATAATCAGTTACAGACTTAAAAAAACTTAGTTGCACTCATAGCTTCAGTTCGTTTCTCTCACATGCTAATTTTGTAGTTCTTTTCTTATTTGGAAGTTATTGGTTTTCTGTTGTTTCTATCAAAAATATTCTTATTATTACAATTCTCCAACGGCTAAAAAAGTGGTTTTCTGTAGTTGCAAAAATACAACATTTGTGTTCCGTGTTAGATTGGAGCTCTACCTTGACCCAACTGCGTAACAACAAAAATTTATATATACAGGCTCCCAAGCAGCAAAATTCCTACAACCAAGAAAATTATAAGCATGTCCACATGCATCTGCTCTTACTTGACAATATGCTTTTAAGTTTTCCTTTCCTTGCAGAATATTAGAAAATGTAGAGTAGCATGAAGAAAAACAAAAGCAAACATACCCATAATTGCAGAGTTTGTTATCTTGCCCTGCCCCTGTAAGCTTTTACAAAAACATCTTAGAAGATAGACTTCATTTCAGTACACGTTTTTTTGAGTGTGACTTTAAAACTTGCTTTTATAACATCATTTCAGTGATAAGGAAATGTGCCATCAGATAAGATTTAGAGTGTTCACTGCTTACCTTTTTTTCTTTTTTTTAAAGGTAATTTGTGAAAGAAGCAAAAATAAGTCTATGGAACTGAAGGAGCGGATTAGAGAATATTTACAGGGTAAGATGAGGAGTCAGTGCCTGGAATGTGCAGCCTCACATTAGGAAGTTCCTCGGACAAGTGTCTGAGCCTGGGCCTTGTGTTCTGGGCAGTAAAGCAGGGGTTTGTCTGCTTTCTTAACTTCTCTGAAAAGGTGGTGCCAATGAACTCTCCTCAGGTGCTGTTTCTCAGGATTATCCTTTTCTGTTCTGAACTCTTCAGTTCTGTTTCCTCTGTTTTTGTTTTTGTTTTTTTGGCATCTGGGATCCGAACCTTTCACCTTGATGTTATCAGCACCATGCTCTAACCAGCTGAGCTAATTGGCTGCACCTCTGTTTTCATATAATCCTTCTTTGAAGTCTTGCATCTGTTCTTTGAGCTTTTTTCTGAGAGAATGGTTTTTTTTTTTTAGGTTATTTAACTGTTGCTCGCGGTCTCACCCCCTTAATCTCTGTAGTTCTCTCACACAGCAGGTCATTTTGTGATCACTTCTCTTTAGGTAAAGCCTGCAATTGGCAAAGAACAGTTCAGGGAGGGACAGTGGCCAGAGCTCCTTGTTTGGTTGGTTTGGCTTTTGTTTGTTTATTTGTGTCCAAGGAGGGGTGGCTCCCTGTCAGCCCTTTCATTCCGAAGCTCTCTGATCAGGACATGCCTCCCCTCCTCTTCTTCCCCCTCCTTGGGAAATGCCCACGTGGCTCCTCCTTCAGCGCTCTGGGACAGTCAAGAATCTTCCCAGGGCATTCCTTCCTGGTGAATCCATAGAGGAACATGTTTACTTCCTGAGGCCTCCCTCTTTTGGTCAGGAGCTTACAGTAGTTGGCCTCTGTGCCTTATGGTTTGTAGACTTGAGGCATGTGAGATGGCTGATTTTAGGGGCTTTTCCTCCCCATCTTCCTCTGTGTTGTTGTCAGTGCATTTCAGAAGATGGCACGAGAAGTGCCTTTTCTTTGACATCTTTAGCAAGAAGTCTGGTGGTTCTGCTTGCTGAATGAGATTGCAGCAGACACTTGAAGCTCTTTGACCTTTCCGTGTTTGTCTGTTTTTCCTACTCTCTTGGATTCTACTCCTGTCCAAAACCCTGTTGGTCTCCATTTAAAGCAGGGTTGGCAGGTGACTGCCCAGCCCACTGCCCGCATTTGTAAATAAAGTTTTATTGGAACACAGCCACAACCATCCAGTTGCACATTGTCTCTGGGTGATTTCTCAGTACAGAGAGACCATGTTGCTTGCAGAGCCTAAGCTGCTGTCTGGCCTTTTATAGAAAGTTTGCCAAACCCTAATCTGATGTGCCTGGAGCCTCTACATGTCCTCTGATCTCTTCCAGTCCTAGGGATTTATGCTACTTGTACATCGCATAGGAAATGAATCCCAGCATCGTGATGGTGGCAGTAGAGGTGTCCTCGGGGCCATCTAGACATTGCTCCCTGAGGCCCAGCTTGAACCTTTGGAGGACCCCAGGAATGCATAGTTGTGTTACCAGAACAACCCTAAATAACTAAACAGATCGATCTGCTCTGTGGAATTTCATACCACACTGACAGAAATGCTTTAAAATTTCACATTCGGGCCGGCCCGTGGCTCACTCGGGAGAGTGCGGTGCTGATAGCACCAGGGCCGCGGGTTCAGATCCCATATAGGGATGGCCGGTTGGCTCACTGGGTGAGAGTGATGCTGACAACACCAAGTCAAGGGTTAAGATCCCCTTACCTGTCATCTTTTAAAAAAAAAGAAAAAAAAAAAATTCACATTAAGCATTACTTTGCGACAATAATTAGGTAGCAGATCTAACTATTGGATAAGGCTTTTTCTATTTGAGATAATAAAATGCTATCACCCCTAAGATCTGCTCATCCATTTTCTAAGGAGAAAATAGCACTTTGATCCAAGTTGCTCAGTTTGCTACCTAGTTCTTCAGAGTTCCTGTATATCTTCCCTGGTTCCTTCTGAGAATCTCATGTGAAGCCCAGGGCTGGGTCAGCTTCAATGGTCATGTCATGGTCTCTGTCACATTCTAGATTTGTATGCCAGAGAACATGCTTCCCTCATCACCCACAAGAGGTCCATACTTGCATAAAGTTGGGGAAGGACCCTAAAGTGTTATGCAGATATAAAATGGGGTAAAAAAGACAGACACAAAACTGTTGAGAGAGCACGAGTCCAATTCTGTAGATAGAAATTTTTAAAAGGACATCAAACAAATATGCCAAAAAAGTAAACATTAGCATTTTATGGGTAGTTAAGTTATAGGTGAAGTTTACCATTTATGAGAGTACTTCAAAAAGCTGATAGAAAGATTTGTATTATCTTTTTATTGTATTTTTCCATGAACTTTTTTGAAGTACTCTCTTAAATTCAAAAGAAGACACCATTATTTCATGTACCACTAAAAGAGAAAGAAATCCACCAATTACCTGTAAAATATCATTACATATATTATGCATCCCTGTTTCAGATATTAAAAGGTAATATGTAAATATGTAATTTTTTTTTTTTTTAAAGGTGACTGGTAAGGGGATCTTAACCCTTGACTTGTTGTCAGCACCACACTCTCCCAAGTGAGCTAACTGGCCATCCCTATATAGGGATCGGAACTCAGAGCCTTGGTATTATTAGTACCACACTCTCCCAAGTGAGCCACGGGCCAGCCCTTAAATAAAGAATTTTAATTGCTGTAGTTTTCAGTATGTTTACAATGAAAATGTAGTACTTTTATCATTAGAAAAAAAATTAAAGGTATGAGAACTATGTAAGCATTTAAAATAAATTCCCAGGCACTCAAGAGCAGCATGGTGGATTGTTTCTCCTGATGCTCCAGAAAACCTCTTAACTTCAAGGCACAGGACTGAAACAGGACCGCCTCACTGTGCCCTCCTGTGTCATCTCCTTGCCACGCCCTCCTGTGTGTCACCTCACCACGCTACACTTTTACTTTGTGCTTTCCATACTTCACATCAAAGTGTCATGTGATTCCAGCCTGTTTAGAGATATATGTTCAGTGAAACCACTTGTAAAGTACAGCAGGAACAGGGAGGGGAAGGAATAAAATGCACCTTGTTTTTAACATGTATTAAGCTCCCACTTTATGCCAATTTGTTCACTGAAGTCTTGCCTCAGTCCTTCAACTACCTTGGAAGGTGGGGAGGTATCTGCTGTTCCCACTCCTTTTTTTTTTTTTTTTTTTAAAAGTAGGGGAAGAAAGTAAGGCTCATTAGGTTGAGTTCTGGCAGAAGCTGCCTTTGCCCAGGTCCTTTGGCTCCAGACCTTATGTGACTTTATCATCATTCCATCCATTTACAAAGGCTGTGGTAAAAACACTTGCCTTGTTTCTCACACTGCTTACCCAGGCCCCAACACACTCTGTGTGGAGCAGCTGACACCTGTCTTCTCCCTCAGGTCACTACTACGTGCCGCTTCTGAGAGCAGAAGACACTTCTTCTCCAGTCATTGGGGAGCTGTGGTCCTCAGACCAGACAGCTGAGGCTTCTCACACTGGCCGCTATGGAGGCAGCCCTAGAGACCCTGTGCTGACCCTGAGAGCTTTTGCAGGGCCTCTGAGTCCATCCAAGGTGAGCTGCTGTGGAAGCTTCTGGAACCAGTTCTTGGCTATGTCTACACTGTAGCACTTGGTGTTCCAGCCTGCTGCTTTCTATGTGGTCTTAGAGACCAGGTCCCAGGGAACCGGAAGATCCTCATCTAAAACCATCAATCAGTGAGTTGGTGATGAGGCTTTAGAAGACTTGCCAGAGAAGTGCATGTTCTTGACCATGTTGTTTGCTTCTTAACCAGGGTGGGTGTCCCAGGAAGCCCACACTTCTCAATGCAGTGGAGTTGGCCTGGGCTAGCCCTCTGCAGTACGTTGTTCCTGTTCTGCCTGTCCATGTTGGTGGCCCTTCTCACAGTGCCTTGCCAGTTAAGTGAGGCTGTCTGCTGTGACTAGGAAACTTCCATTTGCAAGTTCACCTTCCTGGCAGGGACCTGCGGTTGCAACTCCTGCTTACTTGCTCTCCAGTGCCCCATGCTGTTCATGTCACCTCTCTTTCCAGGAGACATTTCATTTACACCTAGGCCTCAGTCTTCATTTGTACCCTTTTGGGCTCCACTCATATCTCTGATGTGCAGATAAATCCTTAATGATAGAGTTGCTGGATCACAGGTTATGCACATTTTTATGCCAAATTTACAATTGACAATTCTTTATCCAATTGAAATATTTTATACACTGACCTGTACTTAATCTTGTGTTGAGAATTTTCTACATAGTTATCTGCAACTATAACAATGTCTCCCAAATGAGGTAGTATCATTTAGGATTAGATCAATCCGTAAAACATAAAACTCTAGTAAGAGTGACTCAAAAAGTAAATGTTTATTTTCTCCTTGTGTGATGGGAAGGATGTTACATGTGCCACTGTGGGCAGCAGTTCTGCGATGCTCCTGTCCTCAAGGCATGGCCTCCTGCTGGGGCCTCCTGCTCCAGATGGACCCTCACAGCCCAGACCCGGCCACAGGAAGGGAGATGCCCCTTCCCTCACATGGGTCAGCATGCAGTCTTGTGGCCACTTGAACTACAAGTGTACACAGGGTCCGGGGTTCTGTTAATGGGGAGGAGGAGGGATGTTGGGAGACAGGCGGGTTCTGTGAGGCTAGTGCTTCTTTAAGTTTCCCTGGGTGAGTTACAGGATGCACAGCGTATCTCAATACATTTTTTCTTTACAGGCAGAAGATTTTCGCAAACTCTGGAAAACTCCACCTCGAGAGAAAGCAGGCTTCTTTCACAGTGTCAGGAAATCTGACCCAGAAAGAGGCATTGAGAGAGTGGGAAGGTACTTAAAGGACCATCGCACAAAGTCACAAAAGCTGAGCAGTGACACTGTGTAGTGTGCTACGTGGCTATATATTGATTGATGGTGGAAAATCTAATTACAGCTGCCTTCAAAGTAATAGTTTCCAGGAAGCATTTATTGGGAAATTTTAAAGTCTTGTCATCAAGGTCTAATTCCTTGCAAATGTACACACTGCAATTTGTGCTATAGAATTATAAGTTAAAACAGACCCTTCCCAGACCTTAGAGCAATTCTGCAACATATTTCTAAGGGATATTATTATTTTATGTAACGGTACCATATGAATGGATATGTCCTTGGAAAAAAACGAAGAAAATTAAACACTTCACCTCTTTAAAACACAAGAGGTGCAGGTATGGCTAGACACTACTAGTAAAAAAAAAAAAAAGCCCCTGGAAAAACTATAAACATAAAGCTAAGTTATGGTGTAATGAATTAAAGCTTCATGAGATTGTTTAGAACTTTTTCTCAAGGTATTTGCCCACTTTCAGTTTTACAACTTGAACCTAAACAGAACCTCCAAATTTTTGTGTGCCTGGCCAAAACTAGAATCATACACAACTTCATAGAGTTGCTTTATGAAAAGGGAAAGTACATCTGTTGATGGAATTTTACGAATTGACCTTCTAACTTTAAAGTTTGTTGGTGTGAGGGTTTGTTTGGGCTTAGGTCTCATTTCTTCAAATGACTGGTTTACTCCATCCCATAACAGAGCTCCTTCAGTAAAAACTGTGTTGGCTCCTATTTACCGTTAGGGGTAGCACTGTTTTAGAAAATGCAAAACATTATTTTAGCCCCAAATTTAGGATAAAATAAAATTATAACTAAGATTGCAGACATTGTTTTGGTACTTCTATTTTCTGTGCAGTCAGTTCTGTGAGTATTTTTTCTGGTTTCACAACTGGTATTGTGTTTTATTTCTTTCAGGGAGCTAGCTCATGAGCTAGGATATCCCTGGGTTGAATACTGGGAATTTCTGGGCTGTTTTGTTGATCTGTCTTCCCAGGAGGGCCTGCAAAGACTAGAAGAATATCTTGCTCAGCATGAAATGGGCAAAAAGTCTCAACAAGAAACAGGAGAAAATGAAGCCTGCTGCCCAGATAAAGCCTCCAGCTCTGGTAAGCAAGTGTGGGTAGGTCTGTGGCGGGTGCAATTGGCCCTCTCCTGTGGCCGCAGTACAACAGGAAGCATACATGTTTCTCTTCTCTACTTACATTTTTAATGTAAAAATGGTGTACTTGTCCTTAGGCTAATGTTTAAAGGGGTGTGGGTGCAGGTGTGTGTATGGGAAATACAGTTTCACTGCAAACAGCATTTCCATTTCTGGTTTCATCTGCATTACCCAAAGTTGAGGAAAGCTTCACTCTGTGCTGTGTTCCCAAAACTTTTAATAGCTGAATTTCACTGGCTGAGTCTCTATAATTTTAGGTCTGACATATTTTCAGGAAAATGACAAGGAGGACACATACCAGAATGCTGTTGTATATTTATTAGATGTCAAGGTGCAAGGTACTTCAGAAGCACAAAAGCAGTGAATGGAAAGATCGTGATGGAAAAGGTTAATTTGACAACATAAAACTTTTAAACGTAACCATTAAAACATCAACAACATATGAAAAAGGAAAATATAGAGAGTAAGAAGACAAAAATATCCCAAAAGTGATATGGGCAAATGAGAGGAAATTCTCCAAGGGAAATAAAAGGACGTTATCTCACTAGTAATAAAAGAAATACACCTTTTTATTTTTATTTATTTATTTTAATTTTTGGCAGCTGGCTGATAACAGGGATCAAATCCTGGACCTGGGTGTTATCAACACCACACTCTAACCAACTGAGCTAACTTAACTGGTATGCCCAAAATACACCTTTAAGATGCAGCAAAGGTGCTGCTGTAAAGTCTCAGCACTGGTGAGTGTCTCAGGAAGGCAGAAGTGAGTGGTCTCACCTGCAGATACATGGTGGTGTGTTGTCCAGTGTCTGTGGGAAAGTCTGCCTGGTTCAAAGAGATTCTTCTGAGAGAGATCCAGGTCACCCCAGTACTGTTTGTAAAACAGCAAAAACTTCAACACTGCCCACTTGTCCAACAGGTGAAGATTGGTTGAATAAATTGTTCTATTCATATTCAAAATTAAAAATCATGCTTTTAGAGAATAATGATGTGGAACAATGTTTACAATTAATGGGAGGAAAAAAATAAGAAAACTACATAATTTATCTTTTTAAAAAAATTTTTTTAAATTTTGTCCTTTTCGAGACTGGCCGCACCGCACTCAGCCAGTGAGCGCACTGGCACAGTTCCCCACCCCCATCCAACAACCAAGGCTCTGGTAACTACCATTATATCCTCTGCTTTATAAGTTTAACTTTATAAAGTTCCGTGCATAAGTGAGAACATGCGGTATTTGTCTTTCTGTGCCTGGTTTATTTCATGTAGTGTAACATCCTCCTGATTCATCTATGTTGTTGCAAAGGACAGAATTAGTACTACATCATGTTTATATACCACATTTTCTTTATCCAGTCATTCATTGATAAGTCTTTTTATTTCTTAGCTGTTGTGAATAATGCTGCAATGAACACAGGAGTACAGATATCTCTTCAACATACTAATTTCAATTTTTTTTAGAAAAATACCCATAAGTAAGATTGCTAGAACATATGATAATTCTACATTTAGTTTTTTGAGGAACCTTCTTACTCTTCTCCATAATGGCTATACTAATTTACATTCCCACCAACAGTGTACAAGGGTTTCCTTTTCTCCATATCCTTGCCAATACTTGCTATAATTTATATTTTTGATAGTAGCCATTCTAATGTGGATGTTTTGACTCTGTCCCAGGAATTTTTCCAAGAGATGTTTATAGTTAGTGACGAAGAAGAATTTTGTCTGGAATATAAAAGCTGTTCGACTTCTGGATTTGGCCGATGCTGATTGAGTACACTTGTTACCTGGACAGTCATTTCATAGACTTAATGCTTAGGAAAGGAAATGTTACCGTCTTAAGATATTCTTGTAGCAGTAGATCAGCATTCAAGACATAGTTCCTCTACTTAAGGATTTTTCATTCTTACCATAATCCTGAAAACTGACCTGTCGAGATATGTAACGCATGTCATAACGGAGCGCCGCCGCACTTCCCAAGCGGCGCACTATCCAGTGCGCCACCGGGCCGGCCCCCCATAATTTATCTTAATTTAAATAAATATATTTGGGCCGGCCCGTGGCTCACTTGGGAGAGTGTGGTGCTGATAACACCAAGGCCACGGGTTCGGATCCTATATAGGGATGGCCGGTTGGCTCACTAGCTGAGCGTGGTGTTGACAACACCAAGCCAAGGGTTGAGATCCCCTTACCGGTTATCTTTTTAAAAAGAAAAAAATAAAATAAAATAAAAATAAATAAATAAATATATTTGTGCAGGAGAAATACTGAGGTAATTACAGAATACCTATATTGGGATTATGGCTCCCTTAAAACAGTTTTCCAAATTTTTTATAACTAACATGTATCATTTTTGTAATCAGAAGAAAAAACTTGAAAACTATGGACAACGAATTGTAGGGGAGCTGGGGAGAAAGGGAAGGTGGAGCTGGTGCTGGGGTCCTGCCCACAGGCCCTTTTACTGGCTCATGCCACAGGGCTGAGCTGCTGCCATGGCCACAGCCTCCTTTTCTTCAGTCCTCCTCTCCCTCCTTGGCCCCTGCTGCTGATGGCATCATGGGATCCACCACCTGTGTTCAGAGCTCTTCTTTCCTGGAGAGAAGGCAAGGCTTCTGATTGCTGCCAAAAGGAATTGAACCCTGGTCCAATAGTTGTCTATTGAAACTTCACTTTCACCTGAGAAAGGCTTTTGTCAGCATCAGACATAAAACTGATCAAGTAAGACCTGTTAAAATTAAACTAAAGGTAATTTTTAAAAAAGCAAGCAGAAACTTGCTAATAACAAGAGATTTGAATCTGCCAAAATAGAAATTTAAACAGATATACAGTTTAAACCTTTGGTTTTTTTAAAGGCCAAAATTGAATCATAGCCTAAAGGCACTTATTTTACATAATTAAACTCCCTGGAATGATGGAAAGAAAATGAAAATGATCCATGTGTACATTAAATTAAGAAGAAATGAGTCTAAAAAAAGTTATCCATGAATCTGAAACCTAGGACTGGAGAGAAATTTATGTATTCACTATTACTAGAAATTTTTAAACATGACTTTGCCGTGTTGCAGTTGACATGGGTGCTTGGATGATCAAAGTCAGTTGTGTAGGACAGATGCCCACTGTACGCAGATTGTGTCAGGTCAAGAGGCTGAGCTAGAAGCGTGGAGAACTTGTGTAAAGTGGCCTCACTCAGTCCCTAAACTTGTGCTGTTCCATGTGACTGTTTAGCCACAGTAGCCTCATGTGGCTGGAGGCTGCCATGAACAGCATACCACCACTTTCTGTTGACAGAGCTGCTCTCGGGTAATTCTTCAGTGTTTTACAGAATAAAGAGGTGCAGCCATTCTATTTCATGGAAATATTCTAAACTATCTTTCAGGACCCTGCAGGGTGTCGTGACCTGAGCCCTTCGAGTCCCAGCCAGTTGGAGCTGGAAAGTGGCTGGAGGGCCCACCCTCTTGCCTGCGCCTGCTCTTGGCTCTGGTTTTCCTTTGCATTTTCCTGCCTTTGAGAAGAGGAGGTGGGCCCAGAAGCTGTATTTCTGTTTGCTTGCCCTTTTCCAAGGAGTAATAGGGGTGGTTTTCTATCTGATGAGGAGGTTTTGGATTGAAGCACTTGAGTGGGGCAGCTCCGTTCATGCTTCCCGTCATTCACAGCACTGACATGCTCCTTTGTTGCCCTCACAGGCAGTGGGAAGAAGTGCAGCAATTCCATTTCTGTGGGGGCGTTTCTAGATGAAGATGATGACGTGAGCTTGGAAGAAATTAAAAATCGGCAAAATACAGCTCGAAATAATAGCCAGCCCACAATCAATGCTTTCAGAGACTCAGGGATCGGCGTCCTTTCCCTGGAGCAGAAGGCAGACTTTATAGAAGCCGCAGACCCAAACAGTCCCCACAGCAACAGAAATGGGTTCTTTAGTCCTCTGAGTCACAGCAAGAGCCCGGATGGAAGGAGACCAAAGGCCCCCAGCGGGGAGGAAGCCTTTCTGTCACCTCTCTCTAATTTGACTGTTGAATTTGATAAGCTGAATTTGCAAAATCTAGGCAGTAGCTTTTCCAAGACATCAAATAAAAATTTTATAAAAACTAAAGATAAGATCCTGACTTCAAGAATGGACACATTAGAAAGTGACTTAACACCTTCTCCTGCAGACAAACTTGGAAATAACCGAATAAGGACAGAAAGTGAAATGTCAGCTGGAATTGCTAAAATGTCTGTAGGTCCTAGCAGTTCTGGGCACAAGTCCTGGTCTGCGCTGGCTCCTGTGTCCTGCCCCATCACGAGGGAACCTGCCAAGAGGCTCTTCCTTTTTGGGTAGGAGTGTGCTGATGTGTGTGTATGTGGCTCTGTTTCTTGTTCCTTTTAAACCTTTTATTTTCTCGGTTTTGTTTTTGTTTTTTTGTCAACTGGCTGATACAGGTATTGAACCCTGGACCTTGGTCTCATCAGCACCACGCTCACCCAACTGAACTAACTGGCCAGCCCCTCACAGTTTGATTTGATGTACACTCTTAGTTCCCATCTCTCTTTGTCATGACTTTATAGCTTCTGAATGTTCCTTTAGGGTCTTCTTCCAGCTGGAATGTGTCTGATCCTAGTGTCTGCTGTTACTTGCTAGGGAAGTAAATCCAGATTGGCTGGATCTGTTTAAGAATTTAATTTGTTTTAGGAAGAAAAACATCTTGGGGCTACTCTTAGTCTCCTAAGTGATAAAAGTCCCCAGCCTTCTGGTATTGATTACCCTCTGAGAGTAGAATTATGCAAAACTTTATCTTAACAGCTGGGGCAGATCATGCTACCATAGAGGGCCCAGGCTGGCATCCTGAAGGCAATCCCCCTGCCCTCTTCTGTACTCTCACCACAAGACAGTGGGTCCCTGTCCACTGCCCTGGCCTTGGGAGATGCCTCCCTCTGCAGACAGACCCCAGGCTCCCTGGCAGCAGGTGCCCTGAGATATTGGTAGTGGTTCAGTAGTTATGTGTGCTTGGTCCCGATGAAATCTCGCACACTGTTCTGTTCGTATGTTGGGTTCTTGAATTAAAAACGCAGTAAGAGGCTGGCCCGGTGGTGCACTGCTACAGTGCGCCGCTTGGGAAGTGCGGCAGCACTCCCGCCGAAGGTTCAGATCCCACATACAGACTGGTTCCCGCTCACTGGCTGAGCGAGGTGCGGGGGCAACACCGAGGGTTGCGATCCCGTTGCCGGTCCCGGTCCGGTACGGGCGCGACACTTAGGGTTGCGATCCGTTGCCGGTCACGAAAAAAGACAAAAAGGAAAAAAAAAAAAAAAAAAAACGCAGTGAGATTTTGGAAGTCTTTCTTCAATCAAAGGTGTTTCTGCTTTTTCTCATTTTTTTATGCACTATAGAGAGGAGCCATCAAAACTAGATCGGGATGTTTTGGCAGCTATCGAATGTGCAGATATCGATCCTCATCAGTACCCAGCTGTCCACAGATGGAGGAGTGCCGTCCTGTGCTACTCACCCTCAGACAGACAGAGGTACCGGTGGGACCCCTGGGAACCATCTAGTCTCTGAAAGTGTAGTTGCTGGAAGCTAGCTCCCGGAATGGTTTGATTGTAGTTCATATGAACATGTGAGTGATTATTCTCTAACACTGGCAGTCCCATTAGCCAAGCTAGTGGTATAGCTCCCCCAATGTGGCCCAGGGTTTCGGTGTGATCCTGGTTGTCTATACACAAGAGAGGTCTCCAGTTGGGCAGAGAGGCAGAATGGGGCTGGTGATGACAAGTTCAGGGTTATGAGGATGGAAGTAGCCAGGGTTTATTTGAGGTTCTTGTGGGAAGTCCACGCAAGCTGTGACTCTTTCAGTGCCTGAGGTTCTGAAACGCCTTTTCTCAGAACCCTAATGGTACCCAAGTCCTCGGCTTCTCTTCTCCCTGGCTCTTCAGTTGCTGTCCGTCTCCAGATACGCCCATTTGGGGTAACAGACCTTTCTTCATTTTAGTTGGCCAAGCCCTGCGCTGAAAGGAAAGTTCAAGTCTCAGCTGCGGGATCTCAGTTGCCCTCCCAGCTGCAATCAGGGGAGAAGTGATCCTGCAAGGGGCAGCCCTGGGAAGCCTGGCCACGCCTCCTACTCCCCTGGCCTGGGCAGCCCTGGGCGCTACAGCCCCGCACATGGGAGCCACTTCCGCCGGATGGCGCACCTGACTGAGCTCGCTGACCTTTAGAGGCATCACTCACGGTTGGGGCTCTCATTTCATTCTTCATTTTTAAAGAAAGAAGAGTAATATGTTTATTGCTAAAATTTCACAAAAGAATATATTCTGTTTAACTTATTAATCCTCACTTTGAGGGTATAAGAATTTTAGAAAATGTAAATGTTCTATATAAAAATTTAGATAGTTTGGAAGAAGTTAATGAAAGTCAGATACAAATTTTCTGGAAAATGTCAATGTAGTAATGATACAGACCTTTTAGGCAGCAATTCGTAGGTTTGAAATGTAACAGAGAAAAGGGTACTAAGGCAGTTTACTAACAGGTAGTCGTGTGGTTACCAGAAAACCTGGGCAGGTGCTCCAGATGTGGAAGGGGAGTTGGCTAAATTGTGGGAATCGACATTCCTGCTGTACCACACTTACTTCAGCCCATTTTTAAAAACAGATGAATTGTATGTCGTCGTGCCTTTTACTGGGGAGCCTCATAGACTTCCTGGCACAGGATGATGGCAATAGCCCTTTTGGTTTGCCAGCTTATCTGAGTCGTTCAGATGAAGTGAGAAGCTAGATGGCAAAGAGCAAGTGAACCTTGAATGTGTCTCAGACTTGCAGCAGTATTTATAGTTTGAGTTGTTAAAAACATTTGAATTACTGATCAGAAGATAAAAGTAGCAGCCATTGGGAGTCATGCAAACAGTCACACAGAAGTCACCAGCAATAATTAAAAGGTATTTTTTATTTCTCACCAGCACTTGAGCTTTCACGGTCAATGCTTTATTTAGTTGCAGTGTAGTGATAATCTGTAAGTTATTCCCTAGTTTTGAAATTTATTCTAAGGACTTGCTGAGCATAAATGATTATGTGGCAGATTATATATGTGTATCCCTTATTTCAGAATTTATAAAAGAGCAGTATGTTATAGTACAGAAACTATAGGGTTACTTTAGTCCCACTTCACTTACTTGTAATGTTGTTTATTTTAGCCTTTACGTCTGGAGGGTCTGTACATGCGGAAGGGCAGTATAGCACCGTGTGCCAAGGTGCCTGAGACAAAATAACCTTGTTGAAGGCTGATTTCTTCCTGGGAGTTATAAATGACTGCTCACACACAAGCGGTATTCTGTGAACATTTCCAGTGTTTAATCCAAAATAAAAAACTGTACCAATGCTTTTGCTAACTTCAGTGCCTTTTGTAAATCATTTTTAATTTTCTTGAACTTGCTTTTTGAGAGTATATGGTGATACTAAGTAGTTGTAAGATCCTTTTTCATTCATAAAAATTCTGAATTGAAACTTGTGTAAAAAGCCTTTTTTCACATGTTAAGAGTTCAGGAATACTGAAATCAAAATTTAGATTTTAAAATTCAAGTTTATTACAAAGCGTGTTTTTGTTTGTTGTATAGCAGACGAGATATAGATACAAGACAGAAAAGATACATTGTGACAGTTTAAAAAGTCATCTTTGTTCTTAAAAGAAATCAGAATACAGATATTCACAGTGATGGTATGTTTTCTCTAAAATCTTACCGTATTGTCCTGTATATTGTTGTAAATATTAAAAGTGGTTTTGCCCTAATATTGCAGACTGCTCTTCCTATTTTCTGAAGTTTTAGGCCTTTGACTATTTCTCCATTTGTACAAGGTGATACCAGTCCCAATGAATGTGTTACATATGTCCCAGGTGATTTTTATGTCTTTTAAAAAACTACTAATTAAAGAAATTGTTTTTAAACCATGTGGTAATAATTCTAAACTTTTGGAAAGACCTTTCTCACCTGTGCCTGGGCAAAATGCCCTTTTTAAAAATCTTAAGGTGATGTGGCCGGCCCGGTGGCGCACTGCTATAGTGCGCCGCTTGGGAAGTGCGGTGGCGCTCCCGCCGAGGGTTCGGATCCCACATACAGACCGGCCGCTCACTGGCTGAGCGAGGGGCGGGAGCAACACCGAGGGTTGCGATCCCGTGGCCGGTCCCGGCCCGGTACGGGCGCGACACTGAGGGTTGCGATCCGTTGCCAGTCACGAAAAAAGACAAAAAGGAAAAAAAAAAAATCTTAAGGTGAATTTTGATGAAACAGTCCATTAATTGGAGTGATTTATTTGCTGGTTTTTTAGCCCCTTTCTTTGCTAACACAGTTGTGAAAAACTTTCTGGCATCAGTTAAAGTAGCACAAATTTTGAAGCTGCACTTTGCAGTGAGAAACTTTTTTGTGACATTAGCAATTGGTATGTAATATTTTCGGTTTGAATATGCAGTGGGATGGGTGGGTGGGCTGTGTGAGAGATAATGCCCAAAGTCCCCACTGTTCATTTCTGGGAGAAAAGCAAGCCGGGGTGTTGCTAAAATAAGTGCCCAAGGGCTGGCAGGTTAGTTCAGTTGGTTAGAGCATGGTGCTGATAACACCAAGGTCCTGGGTTTGATCCCTGTACCAGCCAGCCACCAAAAAAAATTTTAGTTGAAAAAAAAAAAAAAGCATCTGCTGCATTGCAGCAAGGACCATAGCCAAATTCTCTTGAGTGACGTTTCCAGAAATTTTCACAGCTTCCCAAGGAAATGACTGATTATGGTTTAACTTTTGTTATGGCCTAAGTCAGCATCATCTCCCCGTAAGTATTCTCTAGCTTACAAATTGCACTTAGGTTTCTTTCTCCACTGTCTCAAAGAGAACATTTTGGGCTAAACAGCAACACCAGTCACTTGGAACCAGCTGCCATCTAGTGCACATTGTTCCCACTGGAGCCATTCAGGTTCCTGGTGTGCCATTTTCGTTCTGGCCAGACTCGAGGTATTGCTGTGTTTGAGAACTCTTCTATTATCTGTCCCAAACCAGGGGACAGTTGGACAGTTTTCATCATGACATCACTGGGCCCATGTAAGTCACATTGTCCAAAAGCCCTTGGCCACACCCCCCACCCCTAGCATGGGCTCACTCTTGGTTTCTGACATCCAGCTGGGCACTCACTCCCGCCCAGGTGTTCACAACAGTCATGTGCAGAAGGTCCTTGGGGGCTGCCCTGGTGTCTGGTGGGCCCTGCACTCCCTCTTCTCCTGTCTGCCCTTCCCATGCCTTCTCCCCAGGCCATGCCTGTCTCGGGTGTCTCAGATATTAAAACCAACCCCCCTCCCCAAGTCAGAAGCCATTCCCAGTGCCAATTTTATGTCTTCCCAAGTACAGGAGGCCCTTGTTATCCAACTGGAAAAGGCCATCGTTCTGTGCTCTTAGAATGAATCAAACATTGAGTTTTGGGCATAACTTTTCAGATAAAAACTGAAAGTCCAATTTCATATCCTTGACTTCAAATGTAACTTCAGCACAATCTTGAGTTTTCATTTTGGGTGGTTTTTTTTTTTTTTTTGCTTTTTTTCAGAAGCATTTAAAAGATTGCTGGATCACTGGTTTCCTGGGATCCCTTGAATTATGTCCAGATCTCTTGACAGTCACTATTTCCAAAATGGTTTTATCCAATTTGTGAGTATTTCCACATTAGGACCAGTTTTGCTTCCCAGCAAACCTATACCTGCCAGTTTCGCTTTATGAACACAGAGTGTATGGCCTGGCTCATTGCCGTCCCACAGACGCCATCATGCCACACCCTTGGACGAGGCGCCAAAACAGCACCTCTGTCCTCACACCCACCAGGAGAGCCCATGAAGAGCCAGAGCCCCAGCTCAAAGCCCAGATGCCTTGCCACAACACTGCCCACTCCTAGAGGTAAGGGGGCGGCGATGTGTGGTCATGGAATGGTGTGGCTGATTCCAAGCCTCACCCTCACCTAAGGTCAAACGTGATATGCCTGTTATTTTTGTTTTTGAAGTTGTCACAGTCCCTGCCATACTTGTCAAAACTATTTCTAGAAGTGGTGCATGGCTGCTGCAGCTGTTGTCTCTAGATAACGATTTGTCATCCTTGCTATCCTGATTGAGGATGCAGACAAATCTCCAGGCTGCTGGCAGGAAGTCCTCCAGAAGGATGGCCCAGGCAGTGCCTGCAAAGCTGTCAGTCCTGGGAACATGAGAGACTGGAAAAGGCTTTCTGGTGACACCTTTGCTGATTGCTACAATGCACAGGTTTCCTGTTTTCTTTAAAACAGTCACAATACTTCTAAAAAAACCAATAAAATTTTATTATATAGTTATTTCCAAAGTGGACAGAGAAATGCATCAAATTTCCCAATTAATTGTATTGACTGTAAAAAATATTTATAACCAATCCATAGGAATTATATTGCTTTTCCTAATTTAACAGAATATTTGGGATAGATCAGGTATAAATATTTTAATCCATAAGCATAAAAGATTAACCAGAGGCAAACTAAGATTGAGCTGTCAGTCTCGGATACTGTTTTGAAATGGGATAACCCCCTACTGGGCTGCTATCTGCCCTGCACCTCTGCCATAAGACCAGAATAAAGGTCGAAGGTCACAGGTCACATCACTCCCACAGACTCATTTCTTCCCTCATGTGCCCAACTTCACCTGTAGCTGGTGAGTCCTTGTGCCCTGAGAAGCCTAATAAAGTGGGTGGATTTAGGTTCAGCAGCGTCAGGGATCTGTAACTCTGGGGTGAGAAACTGGTTAGCAAAGCAAAAACCCAGACTGACAAATATTTAAGTGACCAAAGGGTTTTAAGAAATGAAAAGAATGTCTGAAGTGAAATGAGCTGTGAACAGCCCTCAGGTGCCCTTTTGCCTGACAGGCTTCGCTGAGGAGGGCACAGCTGGTTGTGGCCAGGACCCTTGGTGCAGATCTGCCATGGTCACCCAAAGTGATGGCATCTGTCAGGCTCACTCAGTCCCCCAAACAGTCCTGACTTCTGAGAGAAGGTTTTCACCTTTGGCCTCACAGCATCCTGGCAGATCGCAGAAGGTAGAAGACCTTACAAAGAAATTAGGCTGTCTGATCCAAATGTTTCCCTTTCAGCCTGGGCCAGAAATAAGTACTCGAATGCAGCATTTCAGATATTTCTACTTTTCTGCCGGCCTCTTCCTCAAGAGACAAAACGTAACAGCCACGCAGCCTGGACAGGGCAGACATGGAAACAAAGGCCAGAGCCAGGACTGGAGCTGAGGGGGCGGGTAGAGGGAGGCCCTCAGGACCGGGTGATCTTGTCAGGGGGCATGAAACCTGTGTCCCCGAGGGTCCTGAGTGCTACACGGCCGTTGGGTCGGATCACCAGGTGGGTGATGCTGCCATTGTTGAGGGACAGACGGAGCCACCCTTCAGGAGGAAATTGCAGTGCTCTGGGAGGAAAGGAAGAGAAAGAACACACTAGGAGCAGGCCTGCTGTAAGGAACAGACAGCCACACTGGTGCAGGGAAAGGGCCAGAGGCTGGGGTCTCGGCAGAGCTGACAGCCCTCCAGTGAGGTCTCCAAGCAGACCCTAGGGGCCAGGACCCACATTGGATAAGTGATTCCTATCTTCAAGCAAGGGGCTTCTCAGCAGAAAGAGCTGGCTGGATTGATGTTGATCAAGCCATCAAGGGGCCTGTCCCTCTTAGGACAAGGGATCAACCTCAACTCAAGATGTGCATGTGAGTCAGAAATGCACTGGCTTCTGGGCTGAGCCCGTGGCACACTCGGGAGAGTGCGGCACTGGGAGCGCAGCAGCGCTTCCGCCGCGGGTTCGGATCCTATATAGGGATGGCCAGTGCGCTCACTGGCTGAGTGTGGTGCAGCAGTCTCAAAAAGGACAAAAAAAAGGGCCGGCCCGGTGGCGCACTGGATAGTGCGCCGCTTGGGAAGCGCGGCGGCGCTCCCGTCCGAGGGTTTGGATCCCACATACAGACCGGTTCCCGCTCGCTGGCTGAGCGAGGCGCGGGAGCGACACCAAGGGTTGCGGTCCCGTTGCCGGTCCCAGTCCAGCGCGGGGGCGACACTGAGGGTTGCGATCTGGTGCCGGACACGGAAAAAGACAAAAAAAAAAAAGAAATGCACTGGCTTCTTACAAGTGCACACAATTTAGTTTGCTTTTCCAGTGCAACAAAAGGGTGGCCAAATAGAACAGATCAATCTCTGAGAAAACTTGCTGTGTTTCTCCCAGGAATGGATAAAGGTGTGATCCACACCACTGTGGTACCTGCATGCTCTTAAAAACTCTTTTTAGGCACGATTAGTGTTTCCTGAAAGGCTCAGTGTTGCTCTCATGCCCCTCTGCGTCAGCGAACACCCCTGTGCTGCACTGAGCTGGCCAACATCTTCCCTGCCGTGAGTCTTGTCAACTTTAACTACCTTCACACTGCTTTTTATGTCTTCTCCGTATTATCCCTTGCAATTTACAGGGTGCTCGCACTCTCCTGCACTCAGCACCACAGAGGATCACCACGCACCAGCATGGTGACACTCTGGCTCTATTTATCACAGGTGAGCTCTCCTCCCACACCCCCCATGACTTCTCGCACATTTCCAGCACAGGCATCACTTCCTACTGACTATGTCAGGGGACGTGTAACAATGTCATGTTAACACAAACACAGAAACCACCTGAGTGGTGCATTCACAGGTGCAGAGAAGGGTGGACGGAAAGATGCACAGCAGCCCTGAGGCCATGCCACCCTGTCAGTGTTTTTTCTTGGGGGAGGGTTCACCTGACGCCCACCCCCTCCTTCCCACCAGCAGCGATCTGGTCTGGTGCCGCAAGCTGAGCATCCCAGCTCCCTGACGTCCTTGCATTTCTGGAGGGGCTGCCACACTCCTGACCACGGCGCTCCGTCCGCCATCCCTAGGTTTCCTGCTTGGGACCTGTGTGCAATGCTCAAGGGAAAATGGCTGCCACAGCCCTGGTGACAGGCCCACAGGACACAGAGCAGAGATCCAGGCCTGGCCCCTGACAGCATCACCAACCAGCGCCATCCTGTCTGGCCACTGCCAGGCCTGTGCTCACAGCCCCCGACAAATGATGGATCTGGGGGAGGCGGGGTTCCACTTTAGTTCATATTTTGCTCTTAGTGAGATCTGGTCAATCCTTTTACCTGTTTCAAATACACAAGCACATAGCTGGCCTTGCTACCCATGAGGCCCTCTCTGACATGTGGCTGTGACCCTGGTGCTCCCTGGAGAAGTGGCTGATTCAAGGGAACATATCCTCTGAACCTGGAACATTCCGTGATGCCCCAGAGGGGGGAAATGGGGTTGGGTCCAAAGAACATGGGAAACCCTGAAGGAGCAGCCTGAGCACAAAGTGACCTAGTCCTGCAGATAGAACGAGCAGTGGTAGACCCTGACCCACTGAGCAAGTGTCATTCACATGGATGGTCAAGGACAGCAGCCACAGAAGTTCTGTGAATAACAAGGACAGATATGGGAAACACCAGAGTGAGGACTGTCGCCAGCAGGGTCTAAAAGCAGTGCAAGTTTGAAGGGAAATGGGCCATTCGCATGTCGCCAAGATAATTATCAGTTACAAAGGGGAAACAACTGTGCCGCAGTGAGAAGCCCAGCAAACACCACCTTAGCTGAGTCACCAGCTGGCACCACCTGGGGGAAGACTCGCAGCATCAGGCCCCTGACTTGTCTGTGCCATTCTTGCCCAAAATGCACAATTGTGAGAAACTCCAGAGTGAGAGGCATTCCACCAGATAACTGACTAGGGCTCATCAAAAATGTCCGGATGTGCGAGACAAGACAGGAACCTCGGGCTGGAGGAGCTAAGTGCAGGGACAGGGTACCTGGGCGAGGTCAGCTGGCGGGTCGTGCACATGGTCAGTTTCAGGGGAAGCTGGCTAAGGAGTACACGTGAATTCTGTCCTGTTCCTGCTACTTTCCTCTAAGTCTAAAATCCCTTTAGGAGCAGGAACACAGCCTGCCAGTGCCCTACCTGCATACAATGTAGCGGATGACATTGGCATGACAGATGAAGATCTCGTAACTGTCTTCCTCCTGCTTGGCATCTGCCCGGTGGATGTAGTTCCGGAAGGCAGCCTCGATCCGGGCTCCATCTTCATAATACTGCTGGGGGCAGAGGGAGGACCCATAAATGTGGAAGCAGGAGGGACACCGACATCAGAGGGACAACGCGCTGGGGAGGTGTTTTTACCACGGCTTCCGGCTTCCAGTGTGATACAGGGGGGTCAGGCTCAATGGGGGCGCCTTCCCGCAGCAGGTCTGTGCTGACCCTGCAGACGCCTGGGGAGAAGCACAGCGAAGCCGCTGTCACGGCCCGCCCGCTCCCCGCTCCTCGCCGTGGCTGCGGCTCCGGCCGGGGCGCCCGCGCTCACCTGGCAGGTGCTTGCTGATGATGTCGGTGGTTTCTATTGCGCGGGTCATGGAGGAATGGACAATTTTATTAAACTTCAGCCCCAAGCTTGCGAGGCGGAGCCCAGTTAGCTCAGCCTGTTCACGACCTGGAAGGTGAAGGGTGCCTTAGAATTACATGTACCCAGATCCCTCCTTTATTTACCGCACAAACAACAAAGCCCTCATTGAAAACAAAGCACCTTCCCAGTGTCCCCACCCCCAGGGGCTTGGGCCTAATGGGGACCAGGCATTCAAGAGTAAAAGCAACAACATAGGCCAGTTGTCTTCAACCCCTCCTACAGAATAAACACATCTAATTCCGTTACTAATAATGACCAAGCTCGAGGACTGCTGGGGTTTGGGTGGGGCCCTGTTTACGATTTCTACGTCCCTCACACCATTCTTACTCAACTGTGCCCAAAAACCAAGTCTCAGCTCCCCAGTTACCCAGTAGCTATGTGTTAGTAGAGATGTCAATACATAAAAACCTGAAGATCTCTGTTACTGAGGAGAGGCTGGATGCAAGTACAAACACATATGCTTTTTCTCAAATGTACTTTAGCATCTCGCCCTCTAGCCCTCTTCAGTTCCCACTGGAAGAGCTTATAACCACTCTTATCTGTACATAAGGAGCCAGAGGCAGCTCTTCAGGGAAGGGGCACAGTCTGCTGGAGAATAGGCCTGTAAACCCCTTCTTATCATTTGAATTTTTGAATATGTGCAAGAATGGGTAACATCCCATTCAAGCAAAGAAATTTTTAAAAATTTAAAATCTACCTCTGACCACCCTGCATTTCCTTTCCTAGGAATTTCTCCTACAGATACACCTGCACACAAGCACAAAGATAAACAATATTCCCAGCAGCACCTTTTACAACAAGAAATTGCAACAACCAGTGGGTCTGCCCGTGGGGATGGCTGGGATTTTCTCTGGCTCAATCTCATCTGTTCAACAGAACTTTATGATCTGTAAGTGCTCAAGAAAAAGATCAGCAGTAAATTAAGCCAAGCAAAAAACAGAGAGCACAAGGTGTGCTACTTTTAGAAGCATCGAGGGAGAGCACAAAGCCTCTGCCAGAATAGGCATTGAGTTTGATGTCATGCAAGCAAGCCCTCATGCAGTATTTTTTTAAAAAAGTTATGGACATTTTTTAAAGCCTGTCTCCTGTCCAAGTTCAGCTGATAATTACTGATAATGACAATGTTCAAGTCTGGGCTGATGGTCCCTGACACAGGTGTGAGGAGGTCCAGGCCCCAAGCACTGTCAGAAAGCCAACCAAGGGGGTTAGCGGGGGATTTGAGCCCCAGCCACATACCCAGTGGGGTCAGAGTGCGGTCCTTTTCCAGGGAGGCATCCATGTGGTACTGGGAATGCCTTATGAGGAAGATGTGCCTAGTGGCCTTGGCTTTGCAGTGGTCCAGCTTGGACGCCAGTTCTTCTTCTCCAGATTCCACATTCCTCTTCCGCAGGTTGATGAGAGACAGTGGTTCTCGCCTAATGTTGAAATACAATACAATATGTCCTTGTGACCTCTGTTCCCAAGTCATTGGGAACAGTATTTCTGACAAGATGGTATTTCCAAATTGTCAGACTAATTGGGAAGAGCACAGGGGAAAAGTAAAGTCCCTCAGCACCAGCGCTGGAGAGGCCAGCCTCTCAAAACACACTCCACTCTCCATCTCACAGAGCTGAGTGCCAGGCCTGCTCTGGGTGATGCCATGAGCAAAGCAGACAAGCAAAGCCCTTGTGCAACCTGTGTTCTGGTAAGGAGAGGCAGATGATCAAAGCAGGAAGAAAAACAGGCAACACCAGAATGTGACCAATGATACAGAGCAAAGGAAACCAGTGACTGTGGCTGTGGGAGGACAGGTGGGAAGTGTTGACAGGGTAGCTAGAACAGCCTTGCTGAAGGTAACATTTCATCAGTGTCTAGAACTGCATTGTCTAGTAGTAACCACCAGAAAAAACTACTGGCTGTTTGAATTAAAAATAATTAAAATCAAATAAAATAAGAACTCCATTTCTTCAGCCACCCTGAAGACACTTTAAATGTTCAGTAGCCACACGGGGTAGTGGCTATCACATTGGACAGCGAGGAAGAAAACACTCCCCTTATTGCAGAGTCCTACTGGGTGGAGCTGTTGGCATGTGAAGGAGCCTATCAAGTGAGGGCAGGCTGGGGTCAGTGGCTGGTGGCTCGGGAACTGAAGCTTAATTTAAATGTGGCAGAGCTGGGAATAGCACAAGATGAACCTGCCAGAATTTACTCAGCTGAGATAGCGGTGGAAGAGGCAGTTTTGGAGGGGCGTAGTGGTGACTCAAGGGTTCTTGTCTGGCCACGCTAACCTGGGGTGCCTGTTATACAACCAGGCCAAGATTTGCACTGGCAGGTATAGGGGAGTCTGGGGCTGAGCCAGAGGAAACACTTAGGAGGCACAGGCACAGAGACAGGAAGCCAGGGACTGCATGAAATCCCCCAGGAAGAGGCTGGAGATTCCACCACAAGATCCTGGACTCCAGCACAGACAGGTGCAGGTGGGACGCAGGAGGAAAAGTGCTCCATTTCCAGCGCCTCCCTGCAGTTGTTTGCACCCTGTCCTTCCCCTCCCCACCCCACATGGCTCAATTTATTCTTCCCCTGGTCCCTAATGGGACCAATCCAGACATGGCGAGCAACCACAGAACATCAGCTTAAATCAGAAAAAGCTGGACTCAAATTTGGTTCTACCTCAAGCAAGTTCTTTAATCTCCAAGTGAACCTGTTTCTTTTAAAAGCCTAAAAAATTCAAAATATCGTACTAATTTTTTTTTTAAAAAGAGAATATGACTACACAGTCTAATCATGAGACAAACACCAGACAAATCCCAACTGAGGGACCTTCCACAAAATACTTGACTAGCACTCCTCAAAACTGTCAAGGTCATCAAAACAAGCAAAGTCTGAAAAACTGTCAGAGCCAAAAGGAGCCTAGAGAGACATGAGGACTAACTGTCATGTGGGATCCTGGAACAGACTAAGGACATTAGGTAAGAACTGAGGAAATCTCAATAAAGGCATGTACTTTAATTAATAATCATTGTGACAAATATACCATACCTGGTGTTAATAATAGAGGAAATTAGGTGTGGGATATAAAGGGACTCTATTATCTTTGAAATTTTTTTATAAATATAAAACTATTCTAAAATAAGTTGGGGTTTTTTGTTTTTTAAAGATTAAAAGAAGAAAATATCTATGAAGATCCTGATAACAACTAGAGCAACAAATACTGCTTCTGTGCCCCTTTTCTCAAAGTATCAAGGAGTTGGGACTGGGTAAACCATCCCCTAGTGACCACTCCCTGACTCTAGAGCAGTCCTGCCCAACAGAAATAGAATGCCAGCAACATAAGTAATTTTAAAGTTTCCAGTGCAACATTAAGAAAGTAAAGAGAAACAAGTAACATTTCAATAGCTCATTTTATTTAATCCAATATACCACAAATACTATCATTTGAACCCGTAATATTCAAAGACCTGCACTGCTTTGGTTTTTTAGTTTAAATTAAGTAGGGGTCGGCCGGTTAGCTCAGCTGCTTAGAGCGGGCTGCTGACAACACAAAGGTATAGGGTTCCATTCTGTTATCAGTCGGCCGCCAGAGCACACGGTAAATGAAGCTACAGACTCTCTTCCGTAATCACGCGAGCTCTACTGCAAACGCCAATACCCACGCGTGGCCCCTGGCCATGGTACGGGACCGGGACCACCAGAGGAGGCTCCCGCTGCTACTCTATGTCCTTGCGCATCGACCCCTCCAGAGAGGCCCGACCCTCTCTCGGCGCCGGGAGATGAGAGCACGTGCCGCTGCCCCACTGACCCGCAGCCCCGGAGCCCGCCCGCCCCA